AGATCTACAGAAAAGTAGTGTGATGTAGCAACGTTCGATATCTGGATTCGATCTTCGATCAGTGAATACCGTCAATTATCATTCCATCCAATTAATGGCGGGTTCAGATTTATGCTCCACTTGCCTGTAATCACCTATAAATAATAAGGCAAGCATGCCGAGGTGGTGCGGATCGGCGCGCGGCCGAATTCTACGGCGGAACCACCGTGGTACCACTTCATCTCGGAGTTCGATACAGGCTGAGGGACACCGAAATCGGAAATCTACAAATCTGGCAATCGTCAATGTAAGAATAAGGTACCAAAATATCGAGGTACCACTGCATCAGCAGTGCCGAAAATCACCATTCCACAATCTGGTAGGCCTCTAGGATAATCATTTAAATTAAGAATAAGGTTCCAGAAGGTCGATGCACCACTTCATCTCTGGCACGAACAAAAGGTATCATCAGTTCCAAAAATGACCAATCTACAATTTGGTAGACCTCTAGAATAATCATTTAAATCATCAATGTAAGAATTAGGTACCAAAAAGTGTCTAGTGCTAACGAGGTACCACTCATCTCGTACTCAAACAATCACCAATCCACAACCGGGTAGACCTGCAGGATGGTCATTTAAATCGTCAATATAGGGATAAGGTCCCAAAAAGCCTTTAATACTACAGAGGTACCACTTAATCAACAGTTTCGAAAATCACCATGCCATAATCTGGTGGCCCCTATAGGATAGTCATTCAAATCGTCAATGTGGGAATAAGCTACCAAAAGGTGTCTAGTGCTACCGAGGTACCACTTCATCTCGGGCTTGGATAAGTGGTCAGCAGCTCCGAAAATAATGAATCCACAACCTGGTAGACCTCTATGATAGATAATCTTTCAAATCGTCAATGTAAGAATAAAGTACCAAAAAGTGTCTACCGGTACAGAGGTACCACTTGAACTTGGGCTTAAATAAGGGTTCAGCATCTTCTCTAGGATAATAATTGAAATCGTCACTGTAATGATACAGTGCCAAAAAGTGTTTAGTGGTACCGAGGTGCCACTTTATTTCGGGCTTGGATAGAGGATCAGCAGCTAATCCAGAATCTGGTAGACCTCTAGGACAGTCATTTGAATCGTCAATGAAGGAATAAGGTACCAAAATATGTTTAGTGCTATTGAGGAACCACTTCATCACAGTGCATGAAAAAGGGATCAGCAGCTCCAAAGATTACCAATCCACAGTCGGGTGTAGACCTCTAGGATAGACATTTAAATCATCAATGTAAGAATTAGGTACCAAAAAGTGTCTAGTGCTAACGAGGTACCACTCATCTCGTACTCGAACAATCACCAATCCACAACCGGGTAGACCTGCAGGATGGTCATTTAAATCGTCAATATAGGGATAAGGTCCCAAAAAGCCTTTAATACTACAGAGGTACCACTTAATCAACAGTTTCGAAAATCACCATGCCATAATCTGGTGGCCCCTATAGGATAGTCATTCAAATCGTTAATGTGGGAATAAGCTACCAAAAGGTGTCTAGTGCTACCGAGGTACCACTTCATCTCGGGCTTGAATAAGTGGTCTGCAGCTTCGAAAATAATCAATCCACAACCTGGTAGACCTCTATGATAATAATCTTTCAAATCGTCAATGTAAGAATAAAGTACCAAAAAGTGTCTACCGGTACAGAGGTACCACTTGAACTTGGGCTTAAATAAGGGTTCAGCATCTTCGACATCCATCAATCCACTAGCTGGTAGAACTCTAGGATAATAATTGAACTCGTCACTGTAATGATACAGTGCCAAAAAGTGTTTAGTGGTACCGAGGTGCCACTTTATTTCGGGCTTGGATAAGTGGTCTGCAGCTCCGAAAATAATCAATCCACAACCTGGTAGACCTCTATGATAATAATCTTTCAAATCGTCAATGTAAGAATAAAGTAGGAAAAAGTGTCTACCGGTAGAGAGGTACCACTTGAACTTGGGCTTAAATAAGGGTTCAGCATCTTCTCTAGGATAATAATTGAAATCGTCACTGTAATGATACAGTGCCAAAAAGTGTTTAGTGGTACCGAGGTGCCACTTTATTTCGGGCTTGGATAGAGGATCAGCAGCCAATCCAGAATTTGGTAGACCTCTAGGACAGTCATTTGAATCGTCAATGAAGGAATAAGGTACCAAAAGATGTTTAGTGCTACAGAGGAACCGCTTCATCACAGTGCGTGAAAAAGGGATCAGCAGCTCCAAAGATCACCAATCCACAGTCTGGTGTAGACCTCTAGGATAGACATTTAAATCGTCAATGTAGGAATTAGGTACCAAAAAGTGTGTGGTGCTAACGAGGTACCATAAGTGATAAGCAGCTTCGAAATTCACCAATACACTATCTGATGGACTTCTAGGATAATAATTGAAATCGTCAATGTAAGGATAAAGTATCAGAATGTCTAGTAGTACCGAAGTATCACTTTATCTCGTGCTTGGATAACGGGTCAATAGCTCCAAAAATAGCCAATCGTTAATGTAAGAATAAATCACGAAAAGTTGTCTAGTGTTACCGAGGTACCACTTCATCTTGGGCTTGAATAAGGAATCGGCGGCTTCAAAAATCACCAATTCACAATCTGGTAAATCTCTAGGGTAATCATTTATATCGTCAATGTAAACATAATGTAACGGAAGGTGTTTAGTACTAACGTACTACTTCGTCTTGGACTTGATTAACGGGTCAGTAGCTCCGAAAATCACAGATACACAATCTGGTAAACCTCTAGGATCACTGACCAACAGCCAAAAAATATCCTAAATAAAATCAACAAAATATTATTTTTAATGTGCTAAAACCGGAATGAAACTTATTTTTTCAATATTAGTTCAAGTTTTAGAGATACGGTAATTATATGTGTTCCTGCTGTGACAGTGTTAATATACTGTAATTCACAAGAATGCACGTGCTACATTTTTATATTTGGCAAGGAAAGATGATGTAATCGGCATGATTGTGCTACGTTATACATACATGTACATTATATTGTTTTATATTAGCCATTTTTTCCTCAGTTGGCTGACAGCGTTCATGCAAGATGTCTCGAAAGTGTGTAAACAGTCCAGATCAGTTTTGTTACGTGTGTGGTGATGTGACTTTTGCGTCTCAGAGAGGGTCTATTACTCCACTAATAACAAAGGCATATCAGCTTTCTTTCGGTTGTAAACTAGGTGATCAAGACAAACAGTGGGCACCCCACATCTGCTGTAATACATGTGCTTCAAGTCTGAGGAGCTGGTTAAATGGCAAAAAACGGTCTATGCGCTTTGCTGTGCCAATGGTTTGGAGAGAGCCTACAAATCATATTAATGATTGTTACTTTTGCATGGTACCTTGTGTTGGACAAGCCACAGGTATGTCCAAGAAAAAAAATCCGTTATTAACTACCCAAACATACCATCTGCGATGAGACCTGTGCCTCATAGTGACGAAAATCTTATTCCAAAACCCCCAGAATCCTACACTTGCGAATCAGAAAACGAATCAGATCATGGCGATCGAGTGATTCGGCAGGAAGAAGATATGCCATCAACGTCAAGAGATCCTGATTTTATACCGAGCACGTCATGCCACCAACCGCACAAAATAACACCGTCAGAATTAAATGATCTTGTAAGAGATTTAGAGCTTCCAAAATGTAAGGCAGAGTTACTTAGATCAAGACTGCAGCAGTGGAACTTGTTAGAAGACGATGTTTCGGTATGCGTTTTTCGTAAACGCCACAAAGACTTAGAACCATTTTTCAATATGGAGAATAACTTGGTTTTCTGCAGTAACATTAATGGCTTACTGGCGGCTTTAAATATAAACTATAACCCAGAAGAATGGAGATTGTTTATAGACAGTTCAACATTGAGTTTAAAGGCAGTGTTATTGCATATTGGAAATATTTTACCATCTCTTCCTGTAGGGTATGCAGTTCACATGAAAGAATCATATGACAATATGAAGTACCTATTGACATGCATAAAATACGATGAGCACCAATGGCATATTTGTGGCGATTTGAAAGTTGTTGCACTTTTACTTGGGCTGCAGCTAGGCTTCACAAAGTTTTGTTGTTTTTTGTGTGAATGGGACAGTCGGGCAAAGGCACTTCATTACACCAGACAAAACTGGCCTGTTCGTCAATTCCTAGAGCCAGATCAAAAAAATGTACAGCATATGCCATTAGTAGATTCGAAAAAAAATTTATTACCACCACTGCATATCAAGTTGGGCCTAATGAAAAACTTTGTCAAGGCATTAGATAGAGGTTAAAGAAGGTTTTTTTGTTGGGCCACAGATTCGAAATATTTTGAAAGATACACAGTTTGAAAACACTTTAACAGGTATTTAAAAAACTGCTTGGAATGATTTCCGTCTGGTGGTCACTAATTTCTTGGGAAATAGAAAAGCTGACAACTATAAAACCCTTGTCAAAAATATGCTGTCATCGTATCAAAAGATGGGCTGTAATATGTCTCTTAAGATACATTTCCTACACTCACACCTGGACTTTTTTCCTGACAATTGCGGAGCCGTAAGTGATGAGCACGGCGAACGTTTTCATCAGGATATTTCAACAATGGAAAAAAGGTACCAGGGAAAGTGGAATCCTTCCATGCTTGCAGACTACTGTTGGACTCTTGGTAGAGATGCTCCAGAAACAATCCATAAAAGAACAGCAAAAAGACAGCGCATATAGTGATTCTTATAAGTATATGAATCTTGTTACTTTTTTTAATATATCCTTAAAAATAAAAAGTTTTTTTTCTAAACCGCAACTAATTTTTTTATTTCATTGTCATTTTTGGATTCAGCGCTCCAAAATTAACAAAGAAGTGCACTTTTCCCACAAGATACAATTAAAAAACTAAAATTTGTTGTCCGGTGTAATCTACAATCCAGTAGACCTCTAGGATAATCATTTAAATCGTCAATAAATTACCAAAAGACGTCTAGCGGTACTGAGGTACCAGTTTATCTCAGGTTTGGATAAGGGATCAGCAGCTTCAAAAATCACCAAACATTTGAATCGCCATTGTAAGAACAAGGTACCAATAGATGTGTTGTACGACGAAAGTACCATTTCATTACGGCGGTGGACACCAAATCAGGAGCTCAAGAAATTATCCATACACAGGTTGATCGTCTTCTTGAAAAGCATTTAGGCGTTTAATGTAAGAAGATGGCAACAAAACATGTGTATGTAGCAAAACATTTGACGCCACTATGTCTTTGAAGGCGAAGGAATCCGCACGCACCGACTTTGACTATTCAAAAACATGCCGCGTGAGCAGTGGGTACCGTTTGGGTACCAAACTGTAACTAAGGAGAAGGATCAGAGAGACACGATACCTGTTTCGCCATCAAAGACATTGTTTTGTGTGGAATGGGCTGTGATATATCTCGGGGTCCTTCAGAATGTTTTTTTTTAGTTCACAGAGCAATGAAGTTATTTATATTTTCTTTAATATTATTACGCTAGTTAATTATAAATGCCATTATTCTCATATAATAAAATATTACCTTTCTGAGGATTTCTGAGCATTTTCCATGGCTTTTTTTCAAAGCTGGCGTTGACCAGATAGAACACAATGAATTTAAGGATCAATAATAGGATACATTCTAGAACAGAGTTCCCCATACTTTTTTGTGTCGTAGACCCCTTGCCATGTTTTTCCGTGTTGGGTAGACCCCCTACTTACATGATATTGATTTCCTGTACATTTCTAACTGTAGTGAAGTTTAGTGATAAAAACTTAAAGTAAAAACACATGTTAATTTATACATTTATTAATTGAATTTAAATTAAAACTACTCAAAATAAAATGTTGTATCTGTTATGTAAAATATACGTAACATTAAATATACAGGTGTCTGACCAATAAGTGCCCGCATTGGGAATAAGTGCCCGCATTGAAAAAAAAATAAAAGGGATAAAATAAAAAAAAAGTGAAAAAAAAAAAGTTTTTTACTTAAAATAGTACAATAAGCGAGTTCGTTTATTAATTATAACATAAACGTATGTTCTACAATAATTTCACTGTTAGTTAAATTCCGCTTCTTATACGTTTAAGTTATCTAAAAATAGGCAAAAATTAACGAATTTTAGTGTGTACCTATCCTTGAATTTTCAGAATAATTTAAAAAAAATATTTTCTATAAAGGGGGGTTCTTTAAAAAAATCAATGCGGACACTTCCCAATGCGGGCATTAAGTGAGAAGGATGAACCTGATGCTTTAATAATAAATTATCAACCTTTGGCGTCAATTTTGTAAGGGTTAATCTTAAATCTCCTTGGCTAATGATGTCCAGTCTGTTTCTTTTCTTCGTTAGGAGATTGGTAACAGCGCTGAACGTCCTTTCCACTAGGTATGACGATGGAAAAGAAATTAAAAATTTCCTCGCTATATTCCATAATACGGGATAAGTAACGGGTATGTTGTTTTGCAGCCAGAATTGCTGATATCCGTTTTTAAACTGAACCTTAAGTTCTTCGTTTGTACTTAGTTCAGTCAGTTTCTCTTGTATTATGACATTCGTTTCTTCTATGTCACCATATGGATTAATTATCCACGGTGGTATTACCATTGTCAAAATATCCTCAAATCTAGATTCAAAATCTGAATAGAGGGCATTTAAATGTTGAACGTAAGTTGAAACGTCGTCTTCCTGGTAGCTTGTCTGTGACAAATTGGGGAACTGAGAAAATTCGCCCCGTCCAATATGCTTCATTAGTTTAACTCTGGCAAGAAACGCTGATAAGATGGACTTCTTTTTAATCAAATTTAAACTGTCGCCTTGTAATTGCAAATTAAATTTTGTAAACAAATCTGTTAAATAGGCGATGTCTGTTTTCCTCTTCATTAAATTTTCTTTTAAAATTTTATCTTTAGCATCCAGAAATTCTAAAATAGTCTCAAAAAGTGCAAAAAATCTTGTCAAACATAAGCCTTTCGACAGCCAGCGTACTGGTAGGAGTAATTGATGAAAGTGTTCGTCATTTTCTTCACACAACTGTGCAAATAACCGCGTATTCAACGTGTTGCTTCGGATTCGGTTTAGTGCATCAATGACTAAATGAAGTGATTCATGCAATCTAACACTCAAATTTTTAGCAACTAAATGTTGTCGATGGATGACTCAATGTATTGCTAACACCCCTGACACATTTTGTTTTAAATAGCTTATAAATCCACGATAACGTCCAACCATGGCAGGTGCTCCATCTGTAGCTACTGATATTATATTTGATATAGGAATTGCTTTTTCAGTGAAGTAATCCTTCAAAACATGAAATATTGATTCACCTTTAGTGTCGGTTATCAAAGTTCTTGCGAAGAGCAGTTCTTCGTAGATTTCTTGATTCATAATAAAACGAACATATGCCAATAATAATGCTGCATTATCAGGTAAAGTTGACTCGTCCAGTTGTATAGAGAAATGGGTCGTTTGCAAATGATTACATAAGAAGCTTTCAATATCAGAACTCATTTCATCAATACGTCTTTCAACAGTATTGTTGCTTAAGGGAATTCTTTTAATGATATCAGATACAGGTTTGTGTAAAACAGTTTTTAATACCTCTTCAACGGCTGGCAAAATTAACTTCTCTCCGATAGTATGCGGTTTTCCGGATTTTGCTATAAGTAACGAGATATTGTAAGATGCCCGCAAACCATCATCATTTCTTTGTGACGTCGAAGCGAACATTCTGTCCAGTGTAGGTCTCTTCTGAAATTTATCTTTGAGTGTTTGAAAGTATTTCAAATCTTTCTCTGTTTTATCAGGGTGCCATCTTCTCAGATGATCTTGCAGTTTAGATGGTTTCATAGCGTCATTGCCCAAAACTTTGTTGCATAAAAGGCACATAGGCGATTGTTTGTCCGGCAATGATGGAATGAAGCCAAATTTCAAATAATCAACACTGTACTGACTACATTTCTTTTTAGATTCGGACATGTCATCAGTCATCTGTGGGCAAAATTAAATTATTTAAATAAGACAGAAAATCCAGCAGCTGTATATTAAAAACATTTTTTGATTTTTCCGAAAACATTCCATAATTCGAACATCTTCTTGCAACAATTAGCTCGAATTACGGAGATTGCACTGTAATTATATTACCGATTGCTAAGACTTTCAAAAAGGAACTATTGAGGAGTACTCGTGTAATTTTGCATGATTGAATATTTAACTACTAGTAACTAAAGTCATGTTTGTCGTAATTTATCTATCTTTGCTAACTACGAGTACAAAACTAAAATTTAATAAAAAATAATATACTTACTTTTCTCCAGCACTCTCAAACAAAATAACCCTCACTCACTATAATTTGTGTGATATACTATCTGTTTATATTTTTTAAAATATTTTCTTAGCACTTTCCTTTTCAAGATGCAGGAAACGAACAAACGTATTTGTCCCACATTCGTATTTATAGAGTGACGAATTGAACAAGTCAGTGCAAGGTAGCGAAGCTCTGAGACTGCGACTCTCAGGTTTTTACAAGTTCAAAATGTATTGCGACCACAAAGCGAATACCAACATCCTACAACTTACACAATTTTGTAAACATATATAATAAATTTTTTACTTCATAGGTACTTTTATAAATAATGTATACATGTATGTTTTGATATTATAAGATAGTATGATGTAAGTAAATAGGTACTATCAGTGTATGTGTTGAGATCCACTATCGTGGACCCCCATATTCATTTCATGGACTCCCAAATTTTTTTTCGCTGACGTAGACCCCTTGCAGGTTGTCATAGACCCCTAGGGGTCGATATAGACCACTTTGGGAATCAATGTTCTAGAAGTTCCACTCAGGTTGAAAAATTACCAGCCCCAAATATCGTTTGCGCCCCCCTAAATCCTAAATCCACCCTTGACGATGCACACGACGAACCGGAGCTTGAGGCAGCTCCGGAACACAGTTCAGGGGACCCTAGGGGGATGCTCCGGTACGCAGCCTCACCGCTCTTCCACTGTCACCAGCTTTGTGCTTCTGGCTTCAGGTGCTAGATCCGCCACTGTAGATTAATTGGAGAAAAAAAAATTGACTCTACACTTCTCACGCCTTCATTGGAGGTTAAAAAAATTGATGAGTCAAATCGTTTCAAAAGGCAAAATCGAATCGTGATTAGGTAGGTTCACTTAGGTAGGATGAACCTTCGATCTCTGCATATCAAACTTTATAAAGCAAATCTGTCATATTTCTGTTTCCATGGCAGATGAATCTAAAATATGTGTAACATGTTATGTCTAACAGGTGCATAGTATCACTGAGATCAGTAGCTTCTTAATAATAGTAGAACTTTCACTGACACCAAATATGAAACAATTTTCATCCCCTCGACACAATGTCTGAAAATGAGCAGGAATCTCTGAAACGTTGTAACACTATGTTTATGCGATTTTATTTCCGCCATTCTCTGAATGAATTTTCAAAATCTATGACTATAAAAACCTAAACGATGTAAGTATTGAACTCGCAATAATATGCGAACTCACAAGTCTTCTGCTGCTTAAAGATATACTAAGTGACATATAAATCCGAACACCCAGTTTAAATGGTTTTATTTTAATAAAAGTTCGTGAATGTATTTATCTTACTGTAAATAACAGGTGAAAAAATTTTTAGCCTTATCAGTTGGACATTCCGGTTTTTATACTGCTTTTTTTTAATTCACTAACGCTCTAAAAATGAATATTTCAGCCTCAGTAAAGAATCAACGTTGGCGGATTTTGGTTCTTGACATCCTTTACGATCGGTTACGATGCCTAGAGTACGGAGACCTGTACGATTTCGTCAACTTAGTGGGACTTCGGGAAGCTGGACTTTCTTTTCGGGCAATTGCAGTTAGAGTGCAAAGAAGTGTAGATACTGTGGTTAGGTGTTGTCAGGCATGGCTTCGAGAAGGCCGTACGCAAATAGCAAGAGGCACTGTACGCCGCCGTAGAACAACAGACTAAGATTATTGGCCTTAAGGGACCGTTTCTCCACTACCAGGTCTATTGCAAATGAATGGTTTGCAGAACACGGAAGACCTATTGGCATGCGAAGTGTTTACCGACGAATGAGAAGTTTTGGCTTGTTTTCATACCGGCCATACTGGGTCCTCCCTTTAACTCGAGAACACCGACGTAATCGCCTTGAGTGGTGCAGACAACGGTCACTCTGGGATCAGGAATGGAACAGTATTGTCTTTAGTGACGAGTCTCGATTTTGCTTAGGCATGCACGATGGTCGTGCCAGGGTTAGAAGGCGACGTGGTGAAAGGAGGAATCCACAGTTTTTTGTTGAAAGACATGTTCATCACACTGTTGGAGTTATGGTTTGGGGTGCTATAGCTTATGGTTCCAGGTTACCTTTAATCTTCATCAGAGGTAACATGAATGCGCAGCGTTATATCCACAAGTTCTAGAACCCCATCTTGACACCCTGGCAGATCCAACTTCCCAACAAGATAATGCCCGACCACATGTTGCAAGAGTCACAATAGACTTCTTTCAACATAATGATGTCACATTGTTACCATGGCCACCAAGATCTCCCGACTTATCCCCAATTGAGCACGTGTGGGATATGATGGGTAGGAGATTGCTCAATTTTCAACGTCCTTCTCAGACTCTAGAAGCACTTCGAGAGGAGTTGGAGGTTGCCTGGAATGAGATACCACAGGAGGACATTGACCACCTGATCAGAAGCATGCCTAGGCGCGTTGGAGGATGCGTAGCACATCAGGGTGTATCCACACATTATTAAAGGTCAAAGGGCTTTAAAGCAGTGCAATCATTTTGAAATTTTTATCATTTATTTATAATGCTTCATTAAGTACGTATACAAAATTTTATTAAAATAAAACTATTTAAACTGGGTGTTCGGATTTATAAGTCACTTAGTATACGAACGACTATTGGAATATTAATGATGAGGATATAATTCGGAGCACCCTGTATACATAATACCTAATATAAACTACTAATGAAGTTATAAATAATAACTAAATGATTCATTCGACGTGACATTTTGAGAGTCCCATAAATCGGTGTCCTCGACACCACCACGGCAGCGTCTTTTTATGGTGGATTTGCGTCAGGTAGGAATATTGGCCGCTTCTTGTCAATTAATAATATAATTCTATTGACTGTCCGGTCTTGGTGTCGGCCTCGGCACCTCTGCTGGTGGTTAATCCTCCGCGGCGGCTCCAGAGCACGAGTTCTACAAAAATACCGTGAGAAAATCCCATTCGGACGGTTCCTAAGCAGCTCAATGCTCTCCCGCCCCCGCGTAGATGTCGAGCTCCTTCACTTCTTGACGCACCCTTTTACAGGTAGGGCGGTCGGCACGTTTCAGGTGGTGTTTATTTTTCATTTCACTTACCATGCCAATTGGCGATGAAGTATTGTGAACTCGAAAAGATTCACGACATGACAGGAAGAGCCATGTCCTCATTTTGGGCCGTCTGTAGGTCTGTCTGTCCGCCCATCCTATAACCGCCTATAACTTGAATTTTGATGAAATTTTCACACAAGATTACTACTGTGCCAAGGACGGAAAAGCTACGGAGTTTTAGAAAATCGCTCCAGTGGCGGCAGAGCTATCGAAATAATAAAAATTGATTAAACCTCGTTTTTCAACGCTTCAGAGGTTCCTGATCATTTTCAGAATTTTGTATGGGCTGAAAGTTCAGCTTTGGGCTGTAGAGGGTAGGGGTTTTAAATGTTTGGTATCAGTGAAAGACATTTTAATATTCAGAAATTCAGCTGTTAAACACAATATCACACATATTAATAATAATTATTTATTCACATCAAAATACAAAATGGTGAATTCAAATCCACTAAAGGATACCATTGTGCCCTTGATTATCAAAATGAATAACCATGATATATTATACATACGTTGTGTATTTTAAATTTCAATTCTATTATTAGAATACAAGTTTTTATCACTCAAAAAGGGTGTATACATATATGTTAATATACTAAGTGACATATAAATCCGAACACCCAGTTTAAATGGTTTTATTTTAATAAAAGTTGGTGAATGTATTTATCCTACTGTAAATAACAAGTGAAAAAATTTTCAGCCTTATCAGTTGGACATTCCGGTTTTTATATTGCTTTTTTTTAATTCACTAACGCTCTAAAAATGAATATTTCAGCCGCAGTAAAGAATCAACGTTGGCGGATTTTGGTTCTTGACATCCTTTACGATCGGTTAGGATGCCTAGAGTACGGAGACATGTACGATTTCGTCAACTTAGTGAGTTTGATAGGGGCCGTATAGTGGGACTTTGGGAAGCTGGACTTTCTTTTCGGGCAATTGCAGTTAGAGTGCAAAGAAGTGTAGACACTGTGGTTGGGTGTTGTCAGGCATGGCTTCGAGAAGGCCGTACGCAAAGAGCAAGGGGCACTGGACGCCGCCGTAGAACAACAGACCGTGAAGATCGCCGCCTAAGATTACTGGCCTTAAGGGACCATTTCTCCACTACCAGGTCCATTGCAAATGAATGGTTTGCAGAACACGTAAGATCTATTGGCATGCGAAGTGTTTACCGACGAATGAGAAGTTTTGGCTTGTTTTCATACCGGCCACACTGGGTCCTCCCTTTAACTCGAGAACACCGACGTAATCGCCTTGAGTGGTGCAGACAACGGTCACTCTGGGATCAGGAATGGAACAGTATTGTCTTTAGTGACGAGTCTCGATTTTGTTTAGGCATGCACGATGGTCGTGCCAGGGTTAGAAGGCGACGTGGTGAAAGGAGGAATCCACAGTTTTTTGTTGAAAGACATGTACGTCACACTGTTGGAGTTAT